AGAAAATATGGAAAATATTTTTATTAATTGAAAAAATGAATTATATTTTTAAGATTTTCTATGATTTTCTAAAATTTTAAATATAATTTAATTCTTCGAATGAAATAATAGTTATAAATAATTTAATATGCTAATAATTTATGCGTATACAATAAAATATTACTTCTATTTCACTGAATGAGAATTATTTGCATAACAAAGATCGAATTTAATGAATAATTGCAATATATTATGGCATTCTATCGATTTAAGTATATTAAACAAAATTGGATGAATGCATCAATGATAATTTCAATTTATCGAATATTTCAAGAATTTCAATTCACAAATATTATTTATCAAATATGAAATACATATTTGGACCTAATTTATTGCATAAATGCATTTTTGTTGGTGGAAATTTATGAAAGAATTTAAAAGTTTATATAACTGCGTGATATCATAAAAAAATAAAAAGTAATTTTAAATTAATTTAAATATTTTAAATTTATTTTGATAAATTCATCTCTTTTTATTAGTTACACTTCTTTTGCTTTTGTACATTTCAGTTAAATCTTTCTTTTTTTTTCCTTGAAGCAGTTTATAGGGAGAGAGAGAGAGAAGAAATTGTAATTTTTACTTTAAAAATTGAAATCCTTTTAATTTCAAAAGCTTTTTATTTTGAAATGGATTAGAAATTATTTTTTTTTTAGCATAATTTATGATAAATGATAAATTTTTGATCGTAAAAAATGAAATTTATGAAAATTTTAATTTTAAAATAATATTTTGAATTTAAACATTAATCTTTGTTTATAATATATATTATTTTATAGTAGTATTTATTGATCACAATGATCAATAAATAGTAACAAAATATGCTAATAAACATTCCTTATATCAATCTCTCAATTACTCTTACAATAAGGATAAATACTAAAGAGGAATGAATAAGAGAGAGAGAGAAAGGGAGAGAAAGAGGGAGAGAGAGGGATGAAAGAGAAAAGAGATTTATTTCTTCTGTCCATCAATTTCCATTTTATAATCTTCTTTTATAGTCTTTTTAAAATATAAATGGAATGAATGTTACCTTGGCATGAATTAGTCATAAAAAGCTTATAAAATTACACCTAAATTCTTCATATTACAATTAATAATTCTATTTTCAGTTACATTTCAATTTCAATTTTTTAATTACATTTCAATTTCAGTTTTAATCTTTTTCAATTCATATTGCATTTAAATAGTTCAACAATTTCAATTACATTTGTATTGAAATAAACCAAAAAGTGCTAAAATGAGATTACAAGAATTTTGCTCATTTCATAATTTCATTTTATTGAAAAATGAAAACTTTTTCAAATGAGAAATTAATCATAAATATTGCAAACATTATCAATCGATAATGATTAAAATAAATTTTTTTTTTGAAAAGGTATCATTTTTAATGAAAATTGTGAAGTAATATAATTTTTATTTTGTTTTACATTTTTTTGAATGATAATTTTAAAATATAAAATGAAGGCAACAGAATAAATAAAAAACAATTATTGATTTTACTAATGATTTCTTTTTTAAAAAAGAAGACTAACTTTAATTGTTAATGTTTACAAAATTTAAAAAAAAAGTTGTATTTGAGAAGTTATAATTCAAAAACTAAAATTTGAATTTAATTTAAGATAAATTTTAAAGTTTGATTATTATTAAGTTCAAATTTACTTTTCGAAAGTTAAAAAAAAAACTTTGTTGGACAACAAGAAATTCAACTATTAATGACAGTAATTATATTTGTTAATTAATTAGAGAAACATTAAAAACACAAATGTTAATAGCTAACAATTAACAAATTTAATCAAAATCCGTTATTGATAATTAATTTGTTCATTTCCATTTTAAATGGTTCTTTTTTAATTTAATTTAAACCTCTCAATTTTATCTCTCTTTTTTGCCACAATATTATTTAATTAGTTTTAAATCAATTCTGAACATGATAAGAATTTTATCACACTTTAATTTAATCAAAACGATCTTAAAAAAACAAAACAAAAACACCGATTTTATCACTCAAATCTTAACAATAATATCATTGGAACATAACAGAATGATTTTAGTGATAAGTTTTTAATTAGCAAGCAAAGTGGGTTCAGTGATAAGTTTTTTAATTAGTGAGCAGGATGAGTTTAGTGATAAATTTTCTAATTAGTGAACATAATGAGTTCAGTGATAAGTTTTTTAATTGGTGAACGGAATGAGTTGAGTGATAAGTTTAGTAATAACACTAATTTGATATCTTTCACTAAAATGGATCATAACAGAGTCATTTATTGATAAAATTTATTCGTGTAATTGTCAAAATATATTTCATAAAATAAAACGACAATATTTGTGATACTTAAATGACATTTGAGGGTAGTAAAATTAAAATTTAACTTTTGCTTCTTTCTTTTTTTAAAAAAAAAAAAATAAAAATTTTGAAGATGTCAGTCCTTTTTGAAAGAAAAAAATGAAAAATAAAAAAAAACAAGAAATTTTCTTATAAAAAAAAAAGAGAAACAAATCTCTGTCATCTATAATTACTTCATACTTCATGTTTACGACTATGAAAAATGTTATCAAAAGATTAAATTCATTGTTTTCATTAAAAAAAAAATTAAAAAAAGTGCTAATAAAAAAAAAAAAAAAGGAAAAGAAAACCTTCAGGCAATTTTGATCACTTTTTTGTCAGTATTAATTCTAATCTTTGTTTTTTTTTTTCTTTTATTGAACACTTCAAATCTTTTATTAAAGTCTAAGTTTTTTTTTTTTCTTTGAATAATCCATTTAATTCTTCTTTTTATTGCTTTAAATCAAATTAGGGATGAAATTATTTTTTTTTCTTTAAAATGAAATTAAAAATTTTTTTTAAATTTAAATACAATTTCAAGATATGTGGCCGAAAAAAAAAGAGAAAATTGGTAAAATTTGATATGATCATTTAAGCTTTTATGGTCATTTATTTTATACAAACAAGAAATTTCATAAACAAGAAAACATAAATAACATAAAATTTTAAAATGTAAAATTAAAAAAAGAAAACGCCAAGTTGTAGTTAATTTGTAATTTTGTGGTTTGGTGACATTAATTCAAAAATTACATTGCAACGAAAAAAAAGAAAATTAAGAATAATACTGAGATAGTGGTATCATTTAAATTTAAGAGAATATTTCAAAAAGTATGAAAAAATTTTTGTTTTTTTTTTTTTTTTTTTAAATAGATTTAAGAAAATTTATGATTTTACAGCATATATTATTTTTAATATTCAAAAAAGAAACAATGAAATGCAAATAAAAATTTGCCGTTTTTTTTTTCAATTTTGTAAATAAATTTTCAAATTAAAATATGAAAGGAAAAAAAATTATATATTCATAATCTAATATTTGTTGAAATAATAATAATAAAAAAAAAAAAATTAAAATGAGAATGTTTCGCACAAGAAAAGAATCAATGATAAAATTAATGTTTTCTTTCTTTTTTTTTTTTTTGAAAAAAAAAGGAATTTTAAAATTTAGACATAAATAATATTAACTTGTGATAATTTTTATTAATTGTGGTACAAATTCATTTGATAATCTTTTTACAGTATTGATATATCAGTGATAAAATGATAAAAACATATATCAGTGATAAAATGATAAAAACAAATGATTATAGCAATTTTGAAAAAGATTTACAAAAGAAATATGTGACAAATATCAAAAGTATTTCATTCAATTCATTTTGTGCTGTCTCGAGATTATTCACTTTTTTAAAATTTCAAAATTAAAAAATTAAAAATGCCATCTGTAGCACAAAAAAAAGAAATATAATTGCAATAAATTTGAAAAAACAAACAATTTATTTAATTTAAAATTTGTTTAGTGCTTATTTTGTTGTTATTTTTATTAATTATTCACTTTCGTTTTATAATACTTGATAAATTCAAAAAAAAAAAAAAAAAACCTAAGTATTACTATTCAAATTATTTTTAATATAAAAGTGTTTAGGTGAAAAATTTTAATCTTTGTTACATAATAATATTTTCTGATTTTCAAAAAAAAAATTCTGCAATTAATGGATTTTTCAAACTTTTTTGAAATTTGGGTAAGCTTTACATTTATATGAAAAAAAAAATTTCTTTTTAAATATTTGTAGAATAATTTGGTGTCTTTCTGTTGTTTTACTTAAGAATTTTAAATATATCAACAAATAGTATAATAATATTGAAATTTAATAAAATTAAATAAAAATATTATTTTACTTAAGAATTTTAAATACATTAATAACTGGTATATTAATACTGTAATTTAATAAAATAAAATAAAACAATATTAAATAAACCAATGGGAACGTATTTAATTATCTAAAAATATAATTAAGCTTCATTTGAAATTTTTTTGATGTAAAATAAAGAATAAAAAATAATTACAATGGAATAATTAATAAGTAATCATAATAATTTAGAAGAAAATTAAAAAATTGCAAAAAGAAAAGAAAAGTTATATTAGTCGTATTCGCTTTATTTCAAATGAAAATTTAATCGATGAATAAATAATTTTTTATTTTTTAAAATAATTCTAAAATGAAAATAATTTTTTAATTACAAAAGCAAATAAATGTAAGTTAGAAAATTTTTGCAACAACATTTTTCATTCTTTAAAATATAAAACTAAAATCAGATAAAAATTAGGAATTCATTTTGTTACAATTAAAACTAAATAAATTATAATAATAAGTATAAACGTGGTATCTGAAATTTTAATCAGTAAAATGATATACGTAATAAGTAATGCGTATATACGTGATAAGTGGTACGTAATATATACGTGAGAAGTAAGTAATACGTAATATATTTTATTTCACCACAACTTCTTCATTTCACAAATACAAATGATTATTGTTATTACAAAATTAAACTTTTCTCCTCTCTCTCTCCCTCTTTCTTTCTCCCTCTCTCTTTCTCTCTTTGGTAGCGATTTTATTAAACAAAAATTTGTCATCAAAATTTAAACATTTTTAGCATCAAATAATGTCCGTGTTAGTGGTAGAATAGGATTGTTGATAGATTCAATCTGAAATTTTAATTAGTAAAATAAAATTTGAATATTATTTTTTTAAAAAAAAAAATTAATCATAAAACGAGAGAATTTGTTATACATATTTCTTTTTTTTTTGCAATGAAAAAATAATTTTAACTTTTATTTATTAATTGTTTCATTATTTTCTTTTTTATTCTATTTATTAAAAAAAAAATAAATTAAAAAATTGTCTTTTTTCTAGTTTTACTATTTGTAAAATGTAATTTTTTTTAAATGAATTTTAGATTTTTAAGAGAAATATTTTCAATTTATTACCATTTTTCAAAATGATTTTCAAAAAAGAAATTAATCTATTTCTTTCTTTCAAACTGCAAAAACTGAAAAGAAAAATTCAATTCAAAATTTAATATTTTATTAAATTTGCTAGAAATCAAAAAAAAAAAAAAAAATGATGGATTCAAACTTTTCCATTAGTTGTAACTTTAATAGCACATAGTTGACAGGTTGTCATCAAAGTGTGACATTTTTGTAAATCCCATGGAGTTTTAGCTATTCCATCATTTAGAACAAAAATTCCAGTAATATTACTAACAATTATGGCACATCTGAAATAAATATTACTTTTTAATATTAAAAAAAAAAAAAATTAAATTAATTTAAAAAGGAACTTGAAATCAACTCATTGTGATGTAACTATTTGTTTAAATTTCACTGATTACAAATGATAAATAACATTATTAATTAATTAAAATTAAATTGCAGTAGTAATTAGAGTTATTTATCCATATTATACGTCTCAAATTTAAATTTAAATTAATGGTAAATTTGATTGAAATTATTTAAATTCCCAGAAAACGTATAAGCAAGTAACAGCTTATGCTAATTTTGAAATATTATTACTTCTATTTTGTGCAAAAAAAAAAATAATTTCACGTATAAATAATTATTGATAATAGCTTATCATTTTATGTCATCTGAGAACTGATAAGGGATGATAATTGAATCAATCAATTTATTCAGTTTTTCAGCATCATTTATTAAATTTTATTAATTTGGAAGTGTGAAAAATGAAATGAAAGGAATGAATTTTAATTAATTAGCAACAATTTGACGATTAATTATCAAAAAATTATGTTCCATCCCTAATTTTTTGGCTGATATGATATGATAACAAAACATTCACTATTTTAGCATATCATTTAGATCAAATAAGATGCCGAAAAATTGGCGTCAAGTTTAGATCAATTAAGAAATCAATATCATTTAAAAAATTTACGATAATTTGTCACAATGTCGCCTAATAAAAAAAATTGTAAAAATGCTATCTTATTATCTCATAAATTAAAATTTTATTTTAATTAACATTTCTTCTTTTTTTTTTTTTAATTAATACTGTAAAAGTAATTTTTTTTCTAATCTATTTGTTTATCATAAATTTAAATTAAATTAAATCAAACTTTGATAAAATATTTAATGAAATAATTACCTATCTTTAAAATTCAAATTAAATTAAATAAATAATTACCTATCTTTAAAATTCAAATTAAATTAAATTAAATCAAACTTTGATGAAATATTTAATGAAATAATTACCTATCTTTAAAATACAAATTAAATTAAATTAAATTAAACTTTGATAAAATATTTAATGAAATAATTACCTATCTTTAAAATTTACAATGATATGTTCGTAAAATCGTTGTAACCTATGAATAAATTCTTGTGGTGTTTCATTTTTTGAAAGTTCATCAACTTTTAATAATGGCGTATAAATTTGATCAGTTGAAAGTATGCCTTGTTTTTGTAACTAAAAATAAAAGTAAAAAAAAAATATTTGTTTATATTTACTAATTAAGCAAAATAGAAATAAATTATTATTTTTTTTTATTTTTAATAATATAAATTTTTTTTTTCAATTTTGATATTAATTATTTTTTGTTATTTTTAATATTAATAATATAATAATTATTATTTTTTATTTTGCTATTATAAATATAAATTAATTAGTTCAAATTTAATTATCAAATGATTCTTTAGTACTATCAAAATAAATATTATTACCATTTCATTGTTTAAATTTTTCAGAAAAAAAGAAAAGATATGATAAAACAGTAAAATTAATTTAACTTATCAAAATTTTTCAAATAAATAATTTGTAATTTTGTTTTTTTTTTTTTAAAAGAAAGCAATAAACAAGAAAATAAGTATTACCTGTGCAATTGTTAGCCAATATTTTTGGCTCTCATCTCGAAAGGCTGTAAATTCAGCTAATGACGGTTCAACACAAATACACCAATTTTGAATTTGCAATGAACGTTGAATTGAATGTGCTGTTTGAATACACCTTAGCTCAGGTGATGTAAATATCTATATTGTAATAAAATCTTTTTTAATTTTATTAATTTTAGAATAATACAAAATTTTTATTTGTGCTATTAATAACTTAGCAAAATTGAAATGAATATTATTTTAAAATAAATATTAAAAAATTAGCAAATTATATTTTATAATTAATATTTTAATTGAATAAAAAGAAAAAAATTAAAATATACAATTTTTGGTTGATAATTAGCATGCAAAATGCCTCGTCCAATTAATGCAGCGCATATTTTGCCATGCTCAGTAATTGGTGAATCAAACTGATAATGCGCAATTGGTCGTCTAATATAATCATATTTAAATAAAACTTTTTTTTTTTTATTCAATTTAAATTACATTTGTAAATTAAAATCAATGATAGATTATTTGAGAAATGTTAAATTGCATTAATTAATTTTAGTAATTGGTGAATCAAACTGATAATGCGCAATTGGTCGTCTAATATAATCATATTTAAATAAAACTTTTTTTTTTTATTCAATTTAAATTACATTTGTAAATTAAAATCAATGATAGATTATTTGAGAAATGTTAAATTGCATTAATTAATTTCAGTAATTGGTGAATCAAACTGATAATGCGCAATTGGTCGTCTAATATAGTCATATTTAAATGAAAGTTTAAAAATTTTTTAAAAACTTTTTTTTATTCAAATTAAATTACACTTGCAAATTACAATCAATGATAGATTAATTAAGAAATGTTAAATTGCATTAATTAAATAATAAATATCTTGTTTATATTTTTATGATTAATTATAATTAATTTTCCTACCAATTTTTCATCAACTTATAAAATAGAACTTCCTTTCAGTGTGCTTAAAGCTTTTTTCCGGATTTATATTCCGTAATATTTGAGTACTAACCACCGATCGACATTTGTAGACCATATTTTAGAGTTTAATTAATTAAATTAACCTTAATAATGACGATGGCATATTTAAATCATAGGGTCGATAAGCAATGTCATCGCTATTTCCAACAAATGATCGGTTAAACCAATTTGGAAATATTTGATCAACTGTTTCAGCATTAGTTATTCCAAATAAAATAAGTGAATATGATCGTTGCAACTTAAAAATGAAAATAAAAATTTAAAAAATCAATAAATTAGAAAATTTTTTCATTCGTAAAGTAAAACTTTAAGAAATTGAAAAAAAGAAAATGAATTTAAATTTTCATTTAAATTAATCTTTGAGAAGTTTTTTTTTTTTTTTTTTTTTTTTTTTTATTGAAATTTTAAACATTTAAAATTGAACATAGAATATTACAAAGAGAAGAATTCGCTTATAGTTGAGTAAAACATAAGTAGTTATTTGTTATAATTTATTAAATAAACTTACTTTTAGAGTAGCAATACGAACTGATAATGGAATAGCAGAAGCTATTCTGAAATAGCAATAAATTTTCAAATATTCCTAAGACTTGAACTGATGTCACATAATGCTAAAGCAGACTTGAACTGATGTCACATAATGCTAAAGCAGACTTGAACTGATGTCACATAATGCTAAAGCAGACTTGAACTGATGTCACATAATGCTAAAGCAGACTTGAACTGATGTCACATAATGCTAAAGCAGACTTGAACTGATGTCACATAATGCTAAAGCAGACTTGAACTGATGTCACATAATGCTAAAGCAGACTTGAACTGATGTCACATAATGCTAAAGGAGACAAACTGATATCTATTTTGAAAACAATTTCATATAATTAATTTCAATTTTTAATTATTATTTTGATTGATAATTTAAAAATTGGTTAAATCAGTAATTATTTGCTGTGTATTTTCTTCTTTCGATGACTATAAAAAAGAAAATTTCATTTATAAGAAAATAAAAGGATAACATTGGTTGTGATCGACCAGATCGCATGCAAATTAGCTTTCGATGATTGGTATACTTTGAAGCAATTGATTTACTCTCTTCTAGATATCATTTAATTAGTTAATTAATTATGCAAATTTAGTATAACATATATTAAGTAACGTCTTGCTTTATAAATTTCAATTGTCTATTTTGCTAGAAAAAATATTTGAATTTTATTTTTCACTTAAATGTTTCATTCGTTTAAAATAATCTCTATAAAAAATGATAGACACTAACCTTATAAAATTTATAGTGGACAGTAACTTTTAAGAAATGGACAATAGCTTTATTAAAAAAATGATGGACATTAGCCATCATGAAAAATGTAGGATAGTAAATTCTATGAAAATTAGTGGACAGCAAACTTTATGAAAAAGAGTGGACAGTAAACTCTGTGAAAAAGAATGGACACTACACTTTGTGAGAAAAAGTGGACACATAAAAAATGGTAAACAAATGGTATTTTATCATCAAAACTATGTAAACAATAAATTGCGATTCCATTGTCAAAAAAAAAGGAAACACTGACGCAAATTTTGACGCTTAATTAGTGCTTTTGAATTAATTAATTAATTAATTAAAGAAGGCTTCTAAAATTTACCTTTATGTTTCCGATTTTTTGAAGTTTCTTTCTCTACGCTCATTTTATTCTGCTCGTCTTTTGTTTTCTTTTTTTTAATAAATCTTCCGGCTAATATTTCTAAAATTTTAGTTTTACTACAATTATATCTCAAATAGCACATTTTAAAAGAGTTAATGATCAAATTAGCAGTCAAAAAATCCTCTAACATATTCAAAAAAAGAAAAAATTCTAAAATCAAAATCTGATCTCTGACAATTAATTTAAAATTTTTGAACTAAAATATTTGAATTGAAATATTGAAATATTTAATTGAAATATTTTAATTTAAACATAATGACGAATTAAATTTTTGAAGTTTCGAAAAATTGCATTATTGAAATAATATATTCTTTAGCTGACAAAATTTTAAATTTGATTTGATTATTTAAGATTTTACTGAGAAGAAACTTTCAAATCAAGTTTGATAAATTGATAACAAAATTTATGTAAAATTCAAAAAATATAAAATTTTAAATTTTAAAAATTCAAAGAAATTTAAAATAAAAATTCAAAAAATTCATCTAAAATAATGTTACAATTCATTATCAAAATGCAATAACTGATATATGAATTTTTTCGACTTCATAAAATATTAGTTTTTAAGTTTAATTACTTTTAACCATCTCTAACAGACCATATGCTGTCAGTGTAATTGTCGAAATGAATAAATTTCAAAAAAAAAAAAAGATAATTTCATTTGTATTTTTTGCATATTTTAAATTAAAATTTAAAAAATGATATTTGAAGCTTTTATAATTTAAATGCTTCAAATATCATCGCAGTTTCATTCGTTTATCAAATTTAATTGCTGAATTCACCAAGTTTAATTGCTATCAAAGTATTATTTTTTTATTATAAAAAAAAATAATAAATTTTTTTGTTAAAAATTAAATCTTCGAATAAATGGAAATAATTTAAAGAATTAATATATTACTTTTATTTTATAAATATTTCAAATATTAGTAATTTTGCTATTTAAATTATATCTTTCAGTATTATTTTGTTTAATAAATTAGTAAAAATAATTTTTTGCTTGCGCTGAAAGAAATTTTCTTTTGCTGATGAAAATTTTTTAATTCAATTTTAAATTTATTAAACAAATAAAATAATAAGTCAAAAAAAAAATTGAAAATTATCAAATTATCTCTTGAAATTATCAAAAAATTTCCTGTTGAGATGAATGAATTATCAGTGCCAAAGTATTCACCAAATATTTATCAGTATATCAGTGGAATTATTGAAAATGCATTAAAACAAACTGAACAAATATTATTAAATTTAAAGACACAACGTAATGATACAGTGATAAATGTTAAGAATGCAACAGGTTCTAATCAAATTTTTATTAAAAAATAATTTAATTAAAATTTAATTTTTCAATTAAAATATGTAATGAATATTTGTTACTTTTGTCATAAAAAAATTTTTTTTAATGCAAAATTTAAAAAAGAAAAAAGGAAAGAAAAGTAAGTAAAGCATTTTTTGTTAATTAGATTAATTTTTATTATTCAACAAATAATATTTGCTAATTAAATTCTTTTTTCTTAAAAGAAAAAAAAAAACTAAATAAAAAGAAATTTTAGAAAAATTAATGGTTTGGAAATAAATTTCATTAAAAAAAATTAAAAATATTTTTAAGTGAAACTTAATAATGAAGAAAAAAAGAAGTCTTCGACAATGCATATGCAAAATGTTAAACAAACGGTAAATTATTAAATAATTTTAATAAAAATATAATAGTAGCATTTTATTTAAAGAAAGATCTTAAAATTTTAACTTTTAAATTTAAAAAATCAAAGTTAAATCTTGTAAATGAAAGTTATATTATTAAAAAAGTGAAAGTAATATTAATGAAAGTTTTATTATAAAAGAAATGAAAGTAATATTAATGAAGGTTATTCTATAAAAAAATGAAAGTATTATTATAAAAAAAAAAAAAAAAAAAAAAAAAAAAAATTAAATTTCATTTTTTTAATAATATAATTTTCATTTCTCTAATAATAAAACTTTCATTAATATTTAATTAAGTAATATTAATGAAAATTACATTATGAAGATTGAAACTTAACCAATTACAAATTTCAATATTTCAATGTAATTTTTTTTTTTTTTTAAAATCAAAATAGAATTATAAGTAAACATTAAAAATTTTGCAGTCAAATGATAATGATAAAACATTGTTATCAGTGACAATGCAATGTCCACAAAAAGTAACCAATTCATCATGGCAAATTATGGATTTATTATGTTTTCCGATTGAAAATGAGGAACGAAATTTAAAATTCACTGATCGAATTTTTGTATCAATTGATCAAAAATCAATAATGCTAATGCGTGAATATGATAATTTGACTAATTGCATTCATCAAAAAGTGCAAACAAAATGTAATCAATGTTATCAGAAGCAGATTAAAATGATAAAATTACAACAGCAACAAACTAAATTAGATCAACAAAAGGGAATAAGGTTAAATTATCATTTATTATTAATATTTTTTTTTTTTAAATTACAAAATTTTATTATAGCAAAAAGTGAAGAAAGAAAGAAAGGAAAAAAGAAGGAAAACAGAAATAAATAAATAAACAAATAAATAAATAAATAAATAAAACAATTTCATATTATTTCAATAAAATAATCATATTTTATTGAAAATTTTCAATAATATAAAAATATTTCAATCTTTTTTTCATAGTAATATAAATTATTATTAATCTAATTTACGACAACAATAATTAATTAATTATAGTAATTTATCTCAAAAACAAGTAAAGAAAGTTGACAAACATCGTTTAGCTTCAATTAAGAATGTTTCTAGCGAGCAATTTCCGCAGCGACAACAGCGCATACAACAAATACAGAAGCCTAAAGCTAATGAAAATGGAAGTTAAGTTAATGAACGTGAAAGTTAACATTCACTAACATGGAAGTTACGTTACTTAATGTAGAAGTTAAGTTAATGAACGTGAAAGTTAACATTCACTAACATGGAAGTTACGTTACTTAATGTAGAAGTTAAGTTAATGAACGTGAAAGTTAACATTCACTAACATGGAAGTTACGTTACTTAATGTAGAAGTTAAGTTAATGAACACATGAAAGTTAAGTTAATGAATGTGGAAGCTAACGATCGCTGATGAGGAAGTTAAGTTAGTTAACGTGGAAGTTACGTTAGCTAATGTAGAAGTTAAGTTAATGAACACGTGAAAGCTCTGAAAGTTAAGTTAATGAACGTAAAAGCTAACGTTCACTAACGTGAAAGTTAAGTTAGTTAGCGTGGAAGCTTATCTACTGAATGCTTAATTCATTTTCTTCCTTACTGTCCCTTTGAATACTTCATTCCCTATTGTTGGAAATTTCAAAAAAAAAAAAAATTAATAAAATAAGGTAAAAAAAAAGTTTTTTAATTCTAACCTAAGTGTATTTCTTATCATAGCAAAACACACTGATAAGACTATGCTAAAGTAATATTTTGTAATTTTAGATTCACTGATAAGGAAGAAATCTTATCATTAGATCAAAGTAAAGCAAAAATTGATCCATTGAATGTTCAAGAAAAATCGAAATCAATTAGCAAAATGGATGAAGCAAGTGCAGAAAGTAGTGTTGAATTTGTAAGTTTACTTATTTAAAGCTAATGTATAAGTAATACTTTTTAATTTTTACTTAAGTAATACTTTACTATTTAAATTGGTAAACTGGAAAGCCTGGAGAGAACTAGATTTTATTCTTTATTCATTTTACCTTAAAACATTCTAAAATTTTTTAACTCTTCAGAAGTGCTTTTAAAAAAAAAAAAAGATAAAAAGTTTAAACTTTCTAATTTGCTAATTTTGTTTATTAATTTATTTGATAGATTTTACTTTGTTTTTATCGGTTTTCTTTTTGTTTATTAAAAAAACCTATTAATTTATTTGATAAATGTTAAAGAAGTAAGCTAAGAATGAAATATATTTATACATTTTTTTAAATAATTTAAATATTTTAACAATATCCAATGAAAATCTATCAAGAAAAAATATATATAAAGGAAATGTTGCAATATGATTGATAAACTTATCATTTATCAAAAAAGAAAGTAAATGATAAGAAGATATCACAATGCTAATCTTTTGATAATAACATTTCCGATTAAAAAAATCTTTTATCAACAGTTGGAAGAAGAAGTACCAATGAAATCGGAGAATAAACAAACACATAAAAAAAGAACAAAAAATAATTTAAAATTGAAATCACATCGTGGCAAACAAATTAGAAAGTCAAATAGCACTGAAATTGATAAGCGAATGATATCAGCTAGAAATGGCAGTGATAGTCGAAGTACAATGCGATCATCTTCTGATACATCTGTTCATTGTTCGTATTTACTGATAATCAATAATTCAAATTATTTTAAATGATATATCTAAAATTTAACTGAAAATATTTTTTTTGAAATTAATATTATTTAGAAATACTAGAATTGAAAAGCAATTTGTAATTAGCAGAAAGTAAAACTTAAAAAATTTACAAATTGATTAAAAAAAAAAAAAAAACTATTTAAAATGTTTACAAAATTTTTTTTTCAAAGTATATAATTTCTTAAAAAGTTAGTCTATTTGCGCATAAATTAAAGTAAATTTTGAATAAAGTATAAAATATTTTATTTAGATGCAAAAATGAATGCAAAAAAAAAATTGAAACGTAAAACAAAAAAGAAAAAAACGAAAGCATCGAGCACTTTGGAACATGAATTGCCTTCTCAACAGCCTCCTTCATTAAGTATGATCAAAATATAATTTTTGCTTTATCAGTACTGATCATAAGTGATCTGATCCATTATCAATCACAATCTTTCTTCTTATCTTTATTTAATCATATAATTTTTTCCTTGTTTTATTCGTTTGTTTTTTTTTGTTTATAATTATAAACAATTTCTTAAAACAAATTCTTATAAGTGTCGATGCTTTTATCAATATCAGTAGTATAAGTGTTGATGCTTTTATCAATATCAGTAGTATAAGTGTCGATACTTTTATCAATATCAGCAATATAAGTTCGATGCTTTTATCAATATCTCGATGCTTTTATCAATATCAATGTCTATACTTTTATCAATACTAGTAGTACCATATTAATGCTTTTACCAATATCAGTACTACTTCTGCTGATACTTTTATCAATATCAGTAGTGTCTATATTGATACTTTTGTTAATATCAGTAGTATCTATGCTAATACTTCATAGCAATATCAGTAATACCTATAGTATTTTTATTAATACTTTTTTTTATCAATTATTAATATTTTTAATATTTTATTAATTTATTAATATCAGTAATAGTATTTTTTATTAATCAAATGTGAAATTAAACAGCTGATAAAGTGATCAATGACTGATATAAAAATGACAACATTTTAGATACCACAAAAAAACAAAGATATGAAAAATATTTTAGTGTATTTCACTGAGTGATATCATTTACAAATGCAAAAATAACTATTATCACTTTTTGAGGTTTCAAATTGCTATTAATTACAATAATTTGATAAAAATTAAATTTTCTAATATGTCATCAAAAAAAAAAAAAAAAAAGGAAAGAAATTTAATTTAGAAGAAAATGAAATGAGCGATGAAAGATGGAATGAAACTTATCAAATTTTTGGAAAGCCTAAAAATGGACGAAAGAATAAAAAACAATTATCAATGGAACAATTCGGCACTGATCAACCTGTATCGAAACAATATCGTGGCGTAAGATCAATGGTTGAACCAATAGGTTGTCAAAAAGTAAAATAATTTTATTTTATTTTATATTTGTTTATTTTATTTTAAGTAAAATAATTTTATTTTATATTTGTTTATTTTATTTTAAGTAAAATAATTTCATTTATATTATAAAAAAAAAAAAGAAATTTGCATAATTATTTTATTTAAATGACAAATTTCGATTTTTTGCATTTTTATTATTAATCATTAATAAAATTTAGAAAATATTTCATTCAAATAAACGCTGAATTTTAATAAAAAATAATAAATTAAATAATTTAACAAAAATTCATTTTAAATTATTCATTAATATATTTCAAAAAAAAAAACATTTCATTCAAATAAATTTACAATTTTAATAAAAATAACAAACTTCAGTTTTAATTTAAAAAAAATAAAGCAAAAACCAAATAATTTAATGAAAATGAAGAAATGAAAAAATTCATTTATTAATGTATGAATATTAATTAATATATATTTTAATAGTTATTTATAAATAATTTATAGTCTTTTTTTTTTTTTTTTTTTTGCTTTGGTGACAAAAGGTGACAAAATTTTTTGAAATTGTATTTTAGATTGTAATGAAAGGATGGAAGCCTCATTATAAAGTGAAAAAGATATGGTTGCAAGATCTTTCCAAAGAATGAAAAATATGACAAAATAATTTTTTTTAAGTTAATATTTGCCTGCTAGTAAATTAAGAATAAAAAATTTCATTCAATAATTTTTGTTTTTGTTTTTTTTTTTTAACTTTTTTTGTGTTTTAAAAAAAATGAAAGTAATAATTTGATAATTTGCATTTAGTATAATTAATATTTGATTTTGCTTCTAACAATTATTCGAAAAAATCTTTTCATCCAAAAAAAAAAACAATTATAAAATAAAAAATAATTTTGATAACATAATTTTATTATTATTTTAGATATTAAATTTTATAAATCAGTATCAATTATTAACTAATATTAAAATACTATAATTCTAATAATCTTTTATAAGTAATATATACATGTAATTTAATTTTAAAGTGTTTTTTTGTTTCAATAAATTTATAATTTTTTCTTTAGTATTCTAAATTTCAAAAAAAAAAAAAAATTAAATTAAATTATCAGATCATCGTATTAAATTAATTAAATTAAGTAAATAAATTAAAGATCAAATAAAAAAAAAATATAAACAGTTACTTATCAGGTAAGTATTATTAGCGTCATCTTAAAACGATATTTGTTTATTTTTTAAAATGTTATAAAAACAAAAAAAACAAAAAAATGAATGCGATGAAAAATTTAAGAAAACTATGAAATGATTCTCTTAAATTTCTGAAATTTTAAAAAAAAAACTTTTAATTTCTATTTCAACTTTTACATTCTTTACTAAAAATTACATAACATCAATACTTAAGTTATTACTCTAACTGATAAGAAAAGTGATTAGAAATTACTAAAAGCGGAAAATTAATAAAATTTGAAAAAAAAGATTTTGTATATAAAATTAAACAGTATTAAATTTAAATTCAAACACTTTATAATTATGCCAATAAGTTTTTTCTCAAATTCTTAAGTATTATTTATCATATATCAGTTTAATATTTAAGTATTATTTACTATATTAATAGCATTATGCCATTTATCAAAATTAACTCATTCGAATTATTTATTAAATAGTAACAAATGATTAAATAATTTCATTTAAATTTTAATTTCCATTAAAATTAAATGATAACACAAATTGATTTTTTGTTGCAAAATAGAAATGAACAAATGCGCAGCAAAAATGAATAAATAACAATGTTGTTATCAGACGAAAAAGTAATGGATAAGTGCTTATCACTGAGAAATATATCACTTGAATAATTGATGTTATCACAAATACACATCGTATTGTATGTCCATAAAGAAACTGTAATTTTATTTATTATCAGAAAAAAAAAAATGATAAAAAAATTGAATAACAAAGAGAAATTATATCACTTGAGAAATTAAATAAATTTTAATCTTATCAGAGTTTAGAGTTTAAGAACCTAAAAAATATTTGATAATCCGATTTCATAGTTTCATTTAAACTTTGATCATTTCATGATAAGAAAATAAATTATTCAAATTTTATCATTTCCATGATAAGACAACAAATTGAAGAAATAAAAAAAAAGAATAAAACAAATTATTTATAAACTTCCATTACTTTATAAAAATAAATTTTAGAATTTTTATCATTTCATTAGAAAGCGATACTAATTATTTAAAATTTATTATTTCTTGACAAAAAGGCAAATTTAAGAAATGAAAAAAAAAATAAATGAAACAAATTATTTAAAGCTTTATTATTTCGTCAAAAATAAATTATTGAAATTCTTATTATTTCATGATAAGAAAATAAATTATTCAAATTTTATCATTTCAATGATAAAATGAAAAATTTAAGAAGTTGAAAAAGGATGATAAATTTCAAAAAATTCTATTTTCAAATGTAATTTATATCTGTTTTATAATTTCTATCAATTGATAATATATCTTACCAAGTATTTTTTAAAACTTGGAATATAATATTCGATTACATTTTGATTATTTCGATTCTCGTTAAAGTATAAATGAAATGAATGAGTAATGATAAGACAAAGAATGATAAAAGTGGTGAAAATTGTATTAAAAATTGGATAGAATGTATTCCAACCATTAAAATTAATTGTAAAAAGTAATATTATAATTGTTGTTAATGCAGCAATCTGAAATTGATAAAATGGCGCAATTGTACCGGCCATATTGCGCCATATTTCATTTCCTCTTTCATATAATATGCGAAATTTCCCTCTTGTATAATGATACAAATAGAAGAATTATTATTTAAATCAATTTTATATTTAAAAAAAAAGCGGTTTATATTTAAATTTAAATTTTTAAACAGTTTATATTAAATTTTTTTTTTTTTTTTGTAAATTTATATAAAATTATAGATTAATAAGATTTTAGCAAAAAATTAAGTTTTACTAAAAGGGAAAAAAAAAGTTAACATTTGTTGTTTAATTTCTTTTTTTTTTCTTTTGGATTGAAATCCTATGAAATTAATATAATTAAAAAGCTAATATTGTTTAATTTTTCTTTTTTTTTAAATATTAAAATTAAAAAAAAAAGTATTTTCAGCTATAAACAACAAATACTTACTAATTCTAAGCTTTCAATACCAATTGATATAATAGCTGTCCTTATCAGGTAATTTCCTTTGTTAACTTTTTGAGTTAAAACTTCACCTGGTAGATCATTTTCAAATGGTAATTTATTTTTAATTGTTAAACCTTCATTAGTCGTTTTTTTGTTGCCTTCATCATCTTTGTCCACAAAAAAAGAAAAAAAAAAATTATCATAAATTTTAAAATTAATTAATTTTTAAATTTTTTTTTTCATTTTAATCATTAAAATTTTAATTGCAATTAATTTGATTGAAAACAATATGCATTGTAAATATAAAACTTAAAATATAGTATTCAAAGCATTGGTTCTACTTTTTTTTTAAATTCATAAAATTGCAAAAATTTTTATTTATATAAAAGAATAATTTAAATATATTAATATATTTACTTTTAGTTAATTTCATACTATTTAGCTACTGAATGATTATACCAAAATTTGAACATTTATTTTATAAATTTTTGTTTTCTTTTTTTTAAAATGTAAGTATTACATGTTTTTAACCTAATGCAATAATTTCTATATAAAATTATTGAAATGGTTTAGATCGCTAAAAAAAAAAATTCATCGATATCATTTGAAAAAGTTTGCGTTCTACTTTTAGAGATTAAAATTTGATCAATAGCAATGTTAAGTAATTAAGGCTAAGTAATTAACATAATCAATAATAAAGTTATATTTAATAGTAAGTAAAGTTTAACTAATTAACATAAATTTTAAAGTCAATTACACGGCGAAAGTTTAAAACGTTCTTTTTCTTTCATCCATAATGTATTTTCCCATTGGGTAACATCAAATTCCATTTCATTCAAATTCTCTTTCTGCAAATTTAACTTTTTAAAATTAATTGTGGAATTAATTAATTTAACAAATATTGTAATTAGAAAGATTGTTTATAATTACAGTGATAAATTTGATGAATTCTCAAATCTCAATTATTTATATTTTAAACAAGTAATGGAATTCTTGTCGAGAATTACCGGAAGTAGGAATTTATTGTTTATAATTAAAAAATAAAATGTAAGAAACTAAAAAGTAATCAATTTAAATGGATAAAGAACTTCTCTATTTGATTTGTAATAGCTAATTTTGAGATCATTAGAATATAAATATCTCATAGTCTCGACAAAATCAAAGTCTTGACGTCTGTATTTGATGTTACTATTGTGTCACATGATAAATCAAATAAATGATTAATTAAATAAGTAACTAATGAATAAGTAAATAAACAGGTAGACAATTAGTAACTGAATAAACAATTGGATAAAATTTAATAAGCAAATAATAAATAAACAAATAGATAATTTAATAAATGAATGAATAAATAAATTAATAAATCAACGAATAAATAGATAAAGTAATAAGTGGATAAATAAATAAATAAACAAACAAATAAACAAGTAAATAGACCTCTGAAAAACTATTTGCTGTAAATTTTTCGGTAGTAATTGGCTTTAAAAAATGTTTTCTTTCATATTTCTTTCGTCTGATCATTTCTTCGAATCGTTCCTGTCTATGCGGCACATTTTGTCTTTTCAATGGAACGTTGCCGTTTACGTCGTCGCTAGTGTCTCTTGACCTTTGACTCTTGTCACATTTATTATTAATGTTACTTGAACTTTGACTCTTATCGCATTCTTGTGATTCCCTAATGATATTTGTTATGAATATAGAAGAGTAATGGATGATAAGAATTAAATAAAGTGGAATAAATGATAAAATTAAATTAAAAATCTTTATAAATAGAAATAAATGAGATTGTTTAGTACGATTATTATTTTTTGGTATTATTTTTTTTTGGTGTTTTTTGGTATTAAGTAAGGTTATTATTTTTTGGTTGCAAAATTATTTATAGCTAATATTTTTAGTTAACTTGATATTCATTGAAATTTAAAAAAAAAAAAAAAATCGTATTAAAAGCTTTTAAGCGAACTATCATATCAATAATGGTTGAAAACAAAAAAAAAAAAAAAAAAGTTATTTAATTTTTTCAACAATTATTTAACACTCTTAAGCATTTATTCATTTTAAAAAACAAAATTGTTTATTTCATTATTTTGTAAACAAAACAAATATATCGTTTTTACTGCCAATAATATAAATAATTTTAACTATGAAATATTAAAATTTATATTTCATTCGTTACATTATTTCATGTTACTTCTGTCTAATTATTTTTTTTTCTGTCTCTTGTCACATCATTCTGTTTTTGCTGTCATCAAAAAAAAAGCAATGATTCAAGACAATTCATCCGCCCTTACTATCCGTTTTTGATTTGAATTTTTAAATTAAATTGAAAAATGTAATATTAATTATAAATATACCAACTATATCGCCTTTCTGCTGTCTTTGCAAAATTTATCATTTGAAAATTATTATTATATCGATAAAATGAAGGTTGTTGTTTATTGTTGTTTGCTGTTGTTTACTATTTGCTACTTCTTTTTTTGTTTGTTTCTGTTGTTTGTTTATTGCTGTTGGTTTACTGTTGTTTGTTTCTTATTGTTTGTTTATCGTTGTTTGTTGTTGTCTGTTTATTATTGTTTGTTTGCTGTTGTTTGTTTATTCATGTTTGTTTGCCGTTGTTTGTTTATTGTTGCTTGTCTATTAATGTTTGTTTATTGTCCTAGTTTGTTGTTGCTTGTTTATTGTTGTTTGTTTATCGTTGTCTGTTCATTGTTGTTGTTTGTTGTTAATTATTTATTGTTTATTGTTATTGAACAAATATTATTCACCTGCTTATTTTTTCATCCACATTTTGAATAGATGATTTTGAGCAATCTTTTCTAGAGTCTCGATTCGATTTTGTTTTAAGCATATATTTACTCTTTTAAGCTTTGTTACAAATAAAAGCAATAATAAAATGAATGATTTTTACTTCACTATAACCATTTATATAAATATTGCTTTTTAATAAGTTTTAATTTGCATAAAAAATTAATTTGATGCAATAATTTGCACAAAAAAAATTAAATTAAATGAAATTGTTTGAAAAAAAAATAATTTTTTTTTTCTTTTTGCTTCATTAAAACTTATATTATTTCTTTAATATTTTTAAATTTATTAATTTCTTTATGTAACTAGTTCAAAGCAATTTTTTCTGCAATAATTTTGAATATGACAGCTACTAAGGTATGTAAATTTTAATTCCAAATTAAATTTAACTTTTTTTTTCAAACTTTTAATTATAATTTGTAAAATTATAGAACTACTTGTTACTGTCATAAATAATTATTGACAATACATTTGTCTGATTTCATTATGGCTTTCATTTTTTTGAGGAAATATAAAGGTGAAGATTTGAAATGCCGTAAAATCACATAAATTAAGTATTAAATATCAAATATATGGATTATCACGTATAATGAATATCACGTGCATGAGCCATAACACGTGCTGAACACTACGTGTTTGAACACACAATGAATATTACGTGATGATCGTTTGAATATTGCGTAATAAAGCACGCATATACCAAATATTATATACTAAGTATTGCGTGTACTAATTACGGTATATATTTATATTGCGTCTACGAACTATCACGAATATTACGTGTATGAATTAAAACATATATTGAATATTACGTCATAAACTATCACGCATATTGAACACTACGTGTATGAATTAAAACACGTATTGAATATTATGTCATGAACTATCACGTATATTAAGCACTAAGTGTATGAATTAAAACACGTATTGAATATTATGTCATGAACTATCACGTATATTAAGCACTAAGTGTATGAATTAAAACACGTATTGAATATTATGTCATGAACTATCACGTATATTAAGCACTAAGTGTATGAATTAAAACACGTATTGAATATTACGTCATGAACTATCACGTATATTGAACACTACGTGTATGAATTAAAACACGTATGTTGAACATTACATGTATGAATTACAAGTTATCTTATTCCAAAGAAATGAATTTCGAACAAACCGACAGTTTAACGTATAGCAAACGTTATTTGCTCTTGGCTTACGTCATTTCTTGTCACGTTAGTTTGCAAGAATAATTAATCATTTCAACAAACGATCGATCATTCTTTTTTTTGAATAAAACTTTTAAATGAAAAAATTTTCAAACTTTAAAAAAATTTTTTTAAAAAATATCTTTTTGTTCATTTAGAAATCATATTTAACAAAATACTAAATTAGAAATATAACATGAAATTTTGAACTTGAAATTTAAAAAAAAAATAAAAAAATGAAATGAAATTAAGGAGAAGAAAGTTATACAATTATTAATTTATTTTTATTTCATTATTGAAATGAATTTTGCCAGAAAGGAATAAAATGAAATAATACTATAAAAAATATTTGAAAGCTTTTCATAGAAATAATTTAGAAATGAAAATTAACTGATATGATATTTTGATAATATTATAAAGTATTGATTGATCTGAGAAAAAAGTAAGTTAAAAGAAAAGAAAAAATTAAACCAATCAAACTAATATTGAGTTAAAATATTTTGTTAATTTTGATTATTTTGCAAATTTTTATTTTTAATTTTGTAAAAATTTAACAAAAGAAATTACTAGTAATCTTTTTTATTTTCTATTTTGTTTACTATTTGTCTTTAGTGGTTGTTTATTTATTTCTTTCAGCTATTATTTTTTCACTTACTATCGGCGTTTTTTTTTTTTGATTTTTAATATTAGTTGAACATATTGAATTAACCTAAATTATATTTTATTGAATTAACCTAAATTATATTTTATTGAATTAATCTAAATTATATTTTATTGAATTAATCTAAATTATATTTTATTGAATTAATCTAAATTATATTTTATTGAATTAATCTAAATTATATTTTATTGAATTAATCTAAATTATATTTTATTGAATTAATCTAAATTATATTTTATTGAATTAATCTAAAATATTTGAGCATTCCTTCATTTATTTTAATGTTATGAGCAATTTTTGTTTGTTGTAAATATTTTTGAGCTTACAAATTTAGCTGAATGGATGATTTCATCCCTTGAGAATTTCATTCCATGATTAAATTCTCGAGTGATCTAGCACTATGAAAATTGAAATTGAGTAACACATTCAGTACAGATTTTTAAATTAAAGTAAATTAACTAATTTGGCAATGAGTATAGCTACTTTAAGAGTTAGTAATTGTTGCACGATAAAACAAAAATGATAGAATTTAAATTAGAATAAATGAACTTAAAATTAATTCAATTTAATTAAGCAATAATCAATTTTATTGATCACTTTTTTATGGAAATATATGCATGAATGAACAAATTGAAAGATAAATTTAAATTGCAATAAAATATATTCGAGATGAATTTCTTCTTTTTTTTTTCTAAAATTATTCTAATTTTAAAAATTTCTAAAATGATTGAATCTTTCTTTTTGATTTTTATGTATATAATTTAAAAAAAAATTACTTTACTATTTAATGAAATTAGTTTATGTTTGTTTCAATTAACGATTAACTTGCAACTATTCACTGTTTATATTTGATAAATATACTTTGTAGTTATTATTGATTTTGATAAACAATCAATAATACTAATTATTGATTAGATCAAGTATGATCAAATTATTGGATATAATTAGATTTAAATTTGATCAAATTCATAGATATAATTAAAGCTGACATAGCTATTTTATGCTTATATTGGTAAATATGTGATTGATAAGCATGTGATTGATAAATGTCAGATAAATATATGATTGATAAACATGTGACTGATAAGTATGTGATTGATAAATGCATGATTGATAAACATGTGATTGATAAATATGTGATTGATAAACATGTGACTGATAAAGTTAAATAGGCTAATTCTAATTTTTACAAGTAATCAATTTAATAATCAGATTTGATTTTTTTTTTTTTTGCTATACTTTCACACTTTTCATAATACTTTGTCCAAATGCGCAAAAGCGCAATTTGTTTATATTGATAACTATGTGATCCGTCGTAATACCACTGTAGTTTTTTGTATCTGATAAGTAACCAAATTTATAATTAAATTTGATTTTTAATTTTTTTTAAGAGGCGCACATTTACTAATTTTTATGTTACTTTGTCTAAATGCGCAAAAGCGCAGAAAGTTGCCAAAAAAAAAAAATCTTTGACAATAATTTGTCATTCTTATATTTTCGCATATTTACACAGAAAATTAATTTCTGATTTGTTTTACTTCAAAATATAAATGGTTTATTTTGAAATTAACAATAATTATTAACTTACTTATAAAGTAAATTTTTTTTTAACTAATTAAAATTTATTGCTTATATTTTGGAATATTCAAAGTTGAATGGTACAAAAGTTTATTCATATAAGTTTGTTTGTTTGTTTGTTTGTTTTTTCTTGTGTAACAATAAATTAATTTTTATAAAAACATTGGTAACATTCTTTCGAAAATCTCTGAAAACTATGCGACACTATTACTTCTTATAATTGAAAGATTGAAATTTTCCCAAAAAGTAAAAATGAAAAAAAAAAACTTTAAATCATTTAATAAAGTAAAGTTTAATTAGAAAGCTAAAAAAAAAAAAAATTCTTGACAAGAAGTTATTGTGCTAATTAGGTAAGCAATTTTTGAACTCAGACTTGTAAAGCTTTTATCACATCATTTATGCTTAAAATAAATCAAAAGTAAAAATTATGAATAAAAGTTAATTTGAGAAGAGATTAAGAGAGAGAGAGAGAGAGGGAGAGAGAGAAAAGAGAGAGAGAGATAATTAAGATAATAATATGTTCTTTATATCGTTTTACAATCAATTTGAATATGCAAAAATATTTGTTTTACATTATTTTATCAAAAGAAAAAAAAGAAAGAAAGAAAAATTTTTTCAAAATTCAAAGAAATTTTTTTTTTTTGAAAAAAATTTCATTCGTTAAAAAAGCTCAAATTGCATTCTTTTTTTTTTTTCTTTGTAATTTGAAAAGTGAAAGTAGAAATTGCATTATTAAAGCTAAAAGTTTAGTTTTTTTTTTTCTTCATTTAAATTAGAATAGTTTTATTTTTTTTCTTCATTTAAATTAGAATAGTTTTATTGTTTTATTGAATAATTAATTAAATTTTGACCAGTGGTGGCTTAAATTAATTATTTCATTTAATATATGCTAGAATTTTAGATCAAATTTATTAATTTATTTTTGATTCTAATTGCATTCAGAAAATTAAAAAAAAAGCTATGTTATAATTAAATCGCTATCAAAATTTCATCGTTTTTTTCTTTTTTCTTTCATTTTCAAAAAAAAAAAATTTCTTTTTTTTTTCAGTAATTTAAATGAATATTAATTTAATTTAACAAAAATTATTCGTTCAGTATACAAACATATATGTGTTAATTTGCATATTTGAATAATTAATATCATACAAATATGTTTTTTAATAAAAGTTTAAAATTTTTAGTCAATTAATAATTTTAAAACTTAAATTTCGTACTAAAAAAAAGGATAAATTTGAAAAACCTAAAAATTGGAAACTAATATTTGTTTTTCTCAATTTATAATTTTTTTTTTTTTGTTGTTAAATTATGATAATAAATTTTGAGTGACAAATAAACAAATAAATACTAGAACAATAAGTTTGCTAATAATTAAGCTTAATTGATTTGATCGATTAAGACTTGCTGTTGCTAGATCACGATTGCAATGATTACCGATACATGCACAATGCAATTCTTCCTCTTCATTACTCATCCATTTATGCGAACAGCCAAGTTGAATCTGTTAATTAAAATAATTCTTTAAAAAAAAAAAAATTTTAAATTAAAACTTAAAAAATATTATTTAGAATTTTTTTTTTATAAAATATTTGCCAA